GCAAAATTACCGTACTACAGCTGCGTCAACAACATTCGAATGCATACGAAACCTGTCAACTTGAAAAAGGCAACGATCGCGAACGAAGTTTCTGTTATTCTACCAGCACAACACCATTACATATCCATTTCAAAAAATGAAATGCTAAGTTCCAATCCAGGCCACCACTTAGAACAACAGCACGATTCACGTTTCCATAGCATTAGAGCTAGTACTGTTCAAATAGATGTCCATGAACGCGACGACAAATGCCTCGAGGTGAATTATGGCTTTTTGACCCCTTGTGAGCCTATGTTCATAGAGAGCAGCCATCTCAATCACTTCTCGTTTAGCTGACGGTGGACAGCGTTTCAGCAACTCTCGAAGTAGATACTGAATAAAGAATGAATTAAATACGAACTCTGCAACCAAATCCTGGCGTGTGGTTCATCATTGACAGCCAACGCTCAGCATCACGCGAAAACTTTGATATCAAATGCACAATCGAATCGGCGTCAGCGCATTGTCAACCGTGACGTTCGCACTTTTTCAGAAATTTCGCGACCCCCTCCTTTAGGGGGTCTCGATGCGACCCCCCACCACCACCATGAGACTCAGGAGGCTCCCCAATACGACCACCCTTCTCCTACCCCGACCACCACCCTCGCCATCATGGCTGTTTCTATAGTATTTGATTCTGAGACCAGTCGACACAGCCCAACTCCGCCCACTTTCCCCTCCAATACGGCTTCGAGCGAGGGGGTCCCACTAAACCCCTGACTCCCTCTTCCCAAACCAACCACAAATGCGCCTCTCCTCGTTCGAATAGTGCGAACGGCACGGCTTGACTCTGCGTCCGCATATGCAGGCAAGCATGTCAACTTTCGAACACTTGAGTGTGACGATAACCACGCCAATAAGTGATAAACTGAATACAACATCAAAACCTTACCAAAAATATCAAATTCGGCTGTATGCAACGGGAGATCAGTTCGTACAAACGTTCGCGGACCTTAAACGGCAGAGCATAGAAGTAAGCATGAAGGCCCATACCAATGTGTCAAAAAAAGAAGAACAGGACAATGCAGAGGTAACACTAACTGCAAGAATATTCTCATTGTTTTGCTTCTTGATCATCAACTCTGCCGTTTCACGCAGGTAGATTTCCCATTCAGGCTCTGGTACCTGAAAGATGCCACTAGCATTCGGGGAATTAATTGTTATCACGCTCAGGGTATCGTACCTGTTCGGTTTCTTTAATAGGTACTCCCTTTCTCTTCACCGCTTCCATCGACAGCAGTGCACGTCGCAGATTTCCTCGTGATTTTGCCACTATCTGAAAATAGAAATTCAAGAAATGTACCTTATAGTGATCCTAACTGTAAGCTCGCGCTTACCATTACTTCCCGGCATCCGCATAACGAGCGCATCCTTAATGGGTATGTGACCTTACTCTTTCTGCGAAGATGGTGCATTACATCTCTGACTCTGAGAATGGTGAAGCTCACATTTGTGTGGTAAAAAAGTCGAGTCCATGTTTCCAATCGGCAATCACGCAAAAAGGAGGAGGGGCTCTCAAATAAGCTCGACCTCAAAAAAATCCTACGGTTTCACCAGAATTGGAAATTGTGCGCAAATAATGGTCACACCGCATCCACCTAGAGCCGTGCACTAGTTTTTTGTATCAAACAAGCATTTAGTGGGTTCCACACAATCTCAATAGGATACTAGTACGACCTCAAAACACTAACCTCTTCATCGGACGGAGCGCCCACTCTTACAATCATGCATCTTGACTTCAGCGGACCGATAATTCGACTCAGAGATTCACAACAGAGAATCAGACGACAGGTCATGGAGTATTTTTCCATAGTACGACGAAGGGCATGCTGAGCATCTCGCGTCAACTGATCTGCCTCCATAAGCACCACTACTGAAATAAACGTACATTGAAAACTATGAACACATGCTGAATAACTTTCTCATTCAGACTGAAAGCAACAAATAAAAACATGAGAACTCATCAACTTTTCGATTCTTGGCCCTAATTCTCCAACCAAGATGGGGTTGATCATGTTCATAGGAGAAGTCAATCAAGACACAAGATTTGAGAATGGTCACAATGGGTGAATAGGTGCAAAGAACTGTTTCGAAGGCGTCAATTGTAGCTTATTTTCCAGGACCGGCTATATGTACAAAACTTGTACATATAGCCGGTCCTGGAAAATGGCTATATGTACAAACTACAAAACTGCGAATAAATTCTCTGGTTTCAAACCCGTCATTAAGCTGTCACCATTCAGTATTGGAGTTGATTGTTATAGAACGCATACCTTTGAAACTTTTCTGTGTAGCACTTGAGATTTGTGAAGTCTGTGCCATCTGCTTAACAACATCTTGCACAACAACACGATCGTAGATGCCAACCTCGCTTAAAAAACGAAAAATCAGGGGTGCCGTGGTGGTATCAGAATTGGTGATTAGGTGCCTCCACAGCCTACAAGAAAAAGGTCCATATCTTCAGTGTTTCTGGTTCCCTTTCCCGTCTTTCTACACTGTCGGTCAGTTGCGCACCTCTACATCATTTTTGAAGCAAATAATCGTACCAGCTTAGCCCTAAGATGTGCTTCGGAAAGAGATGTCAAGTTTCCATCTACGAAGCAGTTCTAACAGCTTTAGCAAAGAAATAAACTCGAAAAGAAAGGTCAGACACTTGACGGATAATCCTCACAAACGGCCCTTTTCACAGGATGCTCGATTTTCTCTCAGTCCTGCTATCCACTTCCACCTATACTTTGATAAAATGAGAGCTATAGAAAAAAAGACATCTGGTAACAGAAAGGAACTTGAAACTAACATACCCAGGATTTATTTCAATATGGTAGTTACTGCTAACAGTGTCGATTTCAATTTTTCTATTAGAAGGTGTCACAAGTGATTTTTTGTCGAGGTGCAGTCGCTCTGCTCCTGCTCCGTAAAGTTCCCTAAGAATCAGCGTATAATTATAAATTGACAAATCATAACCTAAATAAATAAATTGGGCCAATTGGTAGCGCTCATCTACTACTCAAATGAGTTCACCTTAAAATGCAATGAATACGCGTTCTTTTCCCTGCACCAGATGGACCATGGACAAGAAGATGAGGAAAGTCATCGGA